AAGAGGGCTTGGTCAGCTTAAGAGATTCCAAGCTAATTTAGGATCTTCCGCATTTAATCAACAGTAGATCAACCAAAGGTAATTGCAACTTGGACCTAATTGAGGAGCTAGGGGGAATCATACCTAAGTGAGTTCCCAACTTGTAATTAGTAGAGTAGTTAGTATAGTAGTTTAGTAAATCAATCCTTAATCTAGTTTGCTAGATAATGAACTGAAGCTGAGTAATAGTAACTCTAGAGACCCGTGGATTCAATATTTATTACTTGTGTCACTATACTGCAGTCCCTTTCATTGGTTACACTTGGCCATTGTTAGGTGTTGTGTTTTAGCGTGTCCATGTACCACTACTTCAATCGCATAAGTTGTTATCTAGCAAAACGGTTTTGGGTTTAAAACTATGAAAACTACAAATGAAAACAAGCAAGGAAAGTAAATGGAGGAGAGTTGTACTTGAGAGAGCTTCACCCGGGTATTGCTCCCCCTAATCTCGTGCTAAGAAGCGACAAACAAAGCTCTAGTGTGAAGGACATGTTCATACACTGCTAGGTGGGTGCAACTAGTTAGGGACAAACTCCCTTAGTCGATCAATGAAGGAAAATCAACAAATATAAGCTAGGGGAACTAGCTCTCTTAACCGTTAGGTGAAGAATTGTGATTCATAACTAGAGAGTCTAGCCCTCTTTATCGATCAACCAAGGAGATCTCTAACTCTCTCTTAGTTGGCTAATTGAGAGTCATTGCAACAAGTTAGGAAGCTAACTCACTTAACCTTTCGGCTAAGGGTGACAACGATAGGCTAGGGAACCTAACCCTCGCAACTAGCTAGCTAAGGATGGCAAACCAAACCCTCAAAACTTAATCCGGTCGGCGGAGAGAGCTTTCCCGGTGGAATCACGACCCTACTCTGATATTTGAGATTTTGGTCTTAAATTGACCTAAAGGAGGTTACCCAAGTGGCTAAGGAGTCTAGCTCCTAATTAGACCAAGAGGGGATTTCCACCCTCTAGGTTAATTTCACCCAATATTGAGTTAAAGCTAGCACACTCAATCATTCATGAATAATACCTCAAATATTATATAAAATGCTCAATCAACACAAGAGGTTCATGTTCTTACACCCTAACACATAGAGATACTAGGATTCACAATACCCAAGGGAGTAGGTAGGCTATTCCATAGCTAAACAAGAGAAAACAACAAAAAGGGAAGAAACAACCATGAAGTGATGTCAATCTTTCCTCCTCGTTGCTTGAGACACCCTTGAGATGAAGAAATCTTCAATCCTCTAGCTAGGAACAAGCCCAAATCTCCTTCTTCCTCCTTTGATTTGCACTTTCTTACTCTAGAGGAAACCCTAACCTCTCACTAGAATCCCCTTTATTCTGAAAAATGAAAACCTAACATAAAATGAAGCTCTCTCTTCTTCTTCCTTTTAGCTCACATTTTATACCAGGATCGGGCTCAGCTAACGACCGTGAAACTCTTCAATGCATCTATGAACAGAGAGCGTTGTGCCGAAACGCACCGCTTCACTTGCATGAGTTCACGGTTTGCACTCAATGTTCAAGGTCTTGTTGACCGTGAACTCGCCTTGCGTTAGTAACTGTAGATTTCTCCCTGGACGCCTCGCGATTCACGGTTTACGGCTTCAGTTCACGACCTTAGGAGACCGTGAACTCCAATGAGAAACCGTGAACATGGCTTGAAACCTGGATGCCTGCACTTCACAGTTACGGGGCAATTTTACTTTTGATTTTTCTTCGGTTTTTGTGTTTTTTACCTTCAATCGTCTCTAAACTCGTCATCGACCCTTCTACACGTGCTAGGACCTAAAATATAAAAACAAGCACAACCTAGCGTGAAATATGTCGAGGGACGATGAAATGCAAAGCCAAACTATCAAGAAATGAGGGGTAAAATATGTACAATTGAACCCGAATCACCTCGATACACGAATGCCTTCGCTCAACGACATTCTCGGTTATGATAGACGACACACCTTCGGGTTTCTTTGGGTCCTCTCGCGGTTCGACAGGGCGATCTGCTGTCCCAACTGCTTTTTGTCCTGTGAACGGAGGGGTTTACGACTCTTCTCCAGAAAGCAATTTCAGAAAAGAAATTGGCAGGGGTAAAAGTTTCCCCTCGTGCCCGACGGATCTCACATCTGTTTTTTGCAGATGACTCATACCTGTTTCCTAGAAGATCGTTACGGGAGTGTGAAAATTTAATTGAGTTTTTGAATGAGTATGAGGAGTTAAGTGGCCAACGTGTGAATTTGGATAAATCGGCTGTCTGCCTTAGCAGGAATATCTCTCCACCGGATCAGGAGTTCCTAGCTCAAATTCTTGGGGTAGGTGTTGTAGGGGTCCAGGATAAGTAGCTTAGACTGCCCACTTTGGTAGCTCAGTAAAAAAATGGCTACGCTTAGGTTCCAGGAGGAATAACTGCTAAGTCAACTTCAGGGGTGGAAATAACAGACGCCGTCACTAGCAGCTAAGGAGACACTGATTACGTAAGTTGAAATAAGTTGCCTTTGCTTTGCCACTTCATGTAATGTCCTGTTTTAAACTTCTCATATCTCTTTGTCGGCTTTTGCATAAACACGTTGCCAGGTTTTGGTGGGGCGTAGAGGTCAGCCACTCTCGGATTCGGTGGATGTCTTGGCGTAATCTGTGTCTCACTAAACATGATGGAGGCATGGGGTTTCGCTGTTTTGAACACTTTAATCAGGCCCTTTTGGCTAAAATGGGCTAGCATATCCTCAATCAGCCTCAGTTGCTCTTAGCTCAAGTTTACAAGGGGAAGTACTTTCTTAATGGTACCTTCTTAGATGCAACCCCTCACTCGCGACCGTATTGGGGATGGCAGAGTGTTTTGTATGGTAGATATTTACTGTTGAAGGGTCTCAGATGGAAGATTGGGAATGAGTGGTCTGCTCCCTTGCTCAATTCCAGCTGGGTACTAGGTCTACATCCTCATTCTTCAATTTATAATCTGCAAGTACTCCCCGGGGAGGGGGATCTAAAGGTGGTGGAGGTGATATCCCAAGGGGAGGGAAGATGGTGTGATAAAAAAATTGCCCAATGGTTTGACCCGGAAACATCTCGTGCCATTAGGAGAATCCCGCTCCCTCAGCAAGTTGTGGAGGATCGGCTGGTTTGGCATGAAACTTGCGATGGAGTATTCACTGTCAAATCTGCCTATCATCTTGCTATTTTGGTGGAGAAGCAAACTGGTAGGTGGCGTTCCATGGTTAGCTGGATGGATAAGTCTAGTTGGATTTGCCTATGGGAAGCTCATATCTCGCCAGAGTTTAAGGTGTTTATTTGGCAAATTGTTAACCGTATTCTCCCGACCACGGAAGCCCTAATCGAGAAGGATGTTCCGATGCTACCTAGGTGTCTGGTTTGTTGGGCAGAGTTTGAGACGTTGGAACATTTGTTTCTTGATTTTCTAGTGGTCAGAGCCCTTTGGGATCACTCGGGACTTGAGTATTTAGGGCAAGGGTTGCCTCGTCAGACTTTTCCCCTCTTTCTGAAGCGTGTCAAGAGCCTCATTCATTGTGCTCCTACTTTCATGGCCGTTGTGGCAGTTCTCTAGCAGATATGGAAGTCCCGAAATTGGGTTGTCTTTGAAGGCAAACAATTTGGCATTCCAACTTTAATGCGGGAATTTCCTCAGCAATATCAGGAATGGGTGAGCTTCCTAGTTGATCATATGGTCCGACCCTCGGGTGATCAGGCGAGACATCCTGGTGGTGCAGGGCCCCTTGTTATTGTCTGCATGTGGGATGGAGCGACTAGTAGTGGGTCTCATTCGGCAGGAGGTATTCTTGTTAAGGATCAAGGGGGGAGGATCCTTGTGATCAAAGGCGTCCAGTTTCCTGATATTGATGACCCTTTGGGGATCGAGCTCCTGGTACTCCTAGAGGCAATTCTTTGGTGTCTGGAGCTGGGATTCACATTGATGAGATTTGAAGGGGATGCAAAGGTTATTATTGACAAAGTTAATCAGGCGGATACCCGTTATAGCAGAGTGGGGAGTGTCCTTGAAGAAGTTGTCTGTCTGGTTGCTAGTCAGTAGGCTTTTCATGTGCGATTTGTAGGTCGGCGTAGTAATAGGGTAGCCCATTTGGTGGCTCGTAAGGCCCTTTCTTTGTACCCGACTACGTGTCGTTATTTTGACTTTCAGACCTGGTTAAATTTCAGGATGTACTGAGCTTTTTTTCAATCAATATATGATTATCTTTTGTAAAAAAAAAAAGACTATACTCTCTCGATATCCAATTTACATATATGTACTAGATTTGTTGTCGTGCTTTACTGTAGTAAGAAGTTATATAATTTTACAAAGGGTGCATGCAACAATGGTACGTAGAGGATGATCTTCAAAATCTACCTCATCAGGGGTAATCATTTACCAGTTTGAGTAATATTCAATTTGTTACATTTATTTTGTCATAAATAAGGCTCAAATGTGTATAATTAATGGTGGATATATAATATTGTCTTTTGTTTTATTTTCCAGTCTCTCCGCCACATGACATCAAGAATAACACAGACAGATGATAACGGCTAATCTTTCTTGGTATTCAGTTTACATGTATGTACTAGACTTGTTATCGCGGTTTACTGTAGCTAGAAAGTTCTATGATTTTTTTATGGGTGCATACAACAGTGGCCCATGATCTTGAAAATCCGCCTTCTCGAATAACCAGTAATTATTTATCAGTGTGAGTAATATTCATCTGTTTATATGCATTCATTTTGTCATCAATTAGGCTCAAATTTATATAATTAGTGCTGGATATATAACATTGTTATTTATTTTCTTTGCCATCCTTTGCGCCACATGATGCCAAGAATGACACACGTAGATGATGGCTAGACTCTTGGTATTCAATTTACTTATATGCACCAGATTTGTTGTCGCACTTCATTGTGGTTGATTAGGAAGTGCTAAATAGAAGAAATGCAATATGAACTTTGGGGTTCATAAAGTCAGCTGCCAACAAAAAGATCCATGAGCACCATGTATATCAAGATTCTAGACGATGCAGAACTGAAAACGCCTTCCACTATCAAAGCAGTCTGACTATTCTCTTTGTAAACATTGGAAATCCTCATGTTGGTTGCAATTCCAAATGGAGTTGTGAGGGAGAAGAAGAGCGCCATCCATGCCATAGCTCGAGATTTGAACTTAGCCTGCAAAAAGTACAACAGTACTACATTAACTTATTATGGATATATAAAATTGTGTTTATTATATAATTAATTGTGGATATATAACATGGTGAAGGTTCTGATATACAATGGGGTGCATAAAACAAATTGTGTTTGTTATATAATTAATTGGGGATATGTAACATGACGAAGGTTCTACTTTACAATGGGGTGAATAAAACAAATTGTGTTTGTTATATAATTAATTGTGGATATGCAAACGATTATTAGTTTGAGTAGCACTAAAATGTACATGACAAATTGTGGACATATAACATTATGTTTGCATATAATTAATTGTGGATATATAACATGGTAGAGGTTTTCCTTTACAATGGGTGCATACATCAATGGCAAGTATAGGATGATCTTGAAAATCTGCTTGCTCGGATAACTGGTAATCATTTACAAGTTTGAGTAATACAATCGTGTATATGTATTTTTTGTCATCAATAAGGCAGTGGATATATAACATTGTTTTTATATTTTTTCTAGCCACTCCGCCACATTACGTCAAGAATAACACCTGTATATGAGGATGACTAGACTCTCTCGGTATTCAATTTACGTATATGTACTAGATTTATTGTCGCCCTTAACTATGGTTAGGAAGTTATATAATTTACAATAGGTGTCTCCATCATTAACAATTTTGTTTAACGTCGTTAATTTTGACGCCTAACATGGGTTGCCTCCCGTAGAGTGCTCTTTCTTTTATGCCCTTGAGCTAGACATTGTCATGCTCCTTTTAGTCAGATGACCATTCAATCTAACACGCCCATTCATCACCCCATTTACTTGTGTTCTCCCTAGCTGGTTTAACTAGATGTGGATTGAATTTGTGTTAATGATGAAAGCGTATGAAGTCTTCATAATCCTTTGATATAATTCGTACTCAAACTCCTCGATCCTTTCTAGCATCGTTTTCGGTCTTGTAATTGCTATGCAAAGTGTCATTTGTGCTAGATGTAAATCTGAAGTTGGTGAAGCTAGAATTACTTTGTCAGCCAATGCTATGTCTTGCTCAGGGTGATGCAGTGTTGCTCGATTGGCATCCTCAACTACAGATCCCGATATGATCTTGATCTCTATCTCCGGATCTATCTCTTTATCATTAGCCTCAAAATCATGACTGCATTTTTTGCCGATGACCTCATCTTGCATATGCTTCACTATCCGATGCATGATCTTTCCTACGTGTAAAGCGATAATCGACAAACGCATGATATGCATTTAACATAGAAAGGCGATACTTAAACAATCGAGTTAAAATAAAATAGTAGAGAGTGGTAATGGATGTTCTGGAAAAAAAATTCCCTCAAATATATAAAAAAAATGAAAATTATTTTGTATATCACAATGAACTTGTTGTTTCTGTGCATATATTTTTAAATTCGAATTAAAATGAAGCCGAATCAAATCAATTTCAAAAGTGGAGAAATAATAAGATCTTTTTTATCTCAATTATAAGATTTGAACCCACTTAAAATTAAGAAGCCATATACGATTATACACAGCTTCATAACCTACAGTTATGCATTGTATCCTACAACTGTACTAAGCAATGTTAATTTACCAACGTATTAAGCGATGCTGATATAATATATTAACACAATCCATGGACTACTATTCGTAAAACTACCAGTCAAAACAAGACTTATATATATTTGTCAAATTTGAATAATTTCAAGTTAGACCCAATGCCACCCTTCCTCTGGGCCACTTGGGTCATGAATTGCCAACACAAAGTTTCAAATTAGTGGGCATTTGGATCATAAATAGTCACCTCAATACTCTTAATATGGTACAATAATTGGCCAATTAAGGTATTAACAGAATTTAATATCAGTGCCCCAGTTTCTGTGAGTCCATAATTTAGGGCTCATATTGTTCGTAAGGATAAGAGTTATAGTGGTTGTCTCCCACCAAGGCTTCCTTTTAGCAGTCACACCAGTTAAATTGACCTCAATTTAGAAAGTAAGGAATATATGGATGAACCAAATATCGAACACTAAACCGAAACATGGAGAGAATGCACTTGTGTGCAATGCAAATTGGCAAAAGGAAAATAAAAGGGATGGTAGAGGTAGATAGTGGAACATGATATGCAACTTTGGCAAATATGCTACATTGTCATAGGACACGACACACCCAAAATTTTCATGAACCTTTTGGTGTGAGCCAAGTAAGGCACTATGTCCCCATAAAAGATATGCTCCCACCACACTATAACAGTATATATAGTATATGCCGATTGGTTGAAATGTAATTTGAACACGACGTATTTACAATGTGTACTTTTAACATTTTAAATTTTTTTAAAATGTTTAAATTTGTATAACATTAAGGTGAAATCGAAATTATAATAAACTTTCATTAATGACCGAAATTTGTATTCTAAATAATTAAAACGCACGTGAATAATCATTCATGACTCGTCTATATAATAATGCAATCACTTAGTTTATCTATGGTTGAAAAGAAAATTAGGGGTCATTTAGCTTTGATGATAGTTAAATTGATTCATTGTAAACATAACAATACATGTATAACAATTTAATTTACATGGTGTATTATAGTTTATATTTTTTGATTTGTGTGATTATTATTGTAGTATTTGAAAAAATTAGATTACCTTTGGGAGAAATGTTACTTTTACATTTTACTTATAATGGAAATAGAAACAACAAATATTAGGATTTTGCTATGTCACCGTGACATGGACTTTTCGGTCGACCTAATTCACAAGGCGGTCGACCGAATTGACAAATTCAGTTATGTGAGGTTCAGAGACGCGGTCGACCGTCTACATAAAATGGTCGACCTCTTTGGTGGTATAACAGAATGAAAGGTCGACCCAAATACCTCATAGGCCGATCCTTGTGCACCTATCAGGTCGACCTCATTAGTAAGAAGTCGACCGCATGCACACCGTATCCGTATTGGATAAGGATTCCAACAGCAGAAAGGTTCCACAATTGGACAAGAAAATGAATTGGGTCGACCTATTCACGTCCTAAATCTCTATAAATACGAATATAAGTCCCCTTCAACGCCACCAAAAGTCTGAATTAGGTTTTTTTCGATTTAGAGCCTTTGTGAAGAAGATTGTTCGCGGTTGCTGTTATACGTGTCGAAAGTGGTCGACCACGTCTAAGGTTAGGTCGACCTAATGTAGCATTCGCCATCATCTTCTCTAATGCGTGATTTCCACCGTCTAATTTGATATATTGTTGCGTGCAGAATAACATTTCTTCGACCTTGACCTCAACCAGGTCGACCGCAATGCTTTCTCGTGCTGCCTAAATTAGTCAATTCGGTCGACCGCCTTTAGGATTAGGTCGACCGAAAAGTCCATGTCACGGTGACATGCATGTCATAGTAGGCATACCCCAAATATTAAGCTAATTAATCTTTACAAAACAAATGTTCACATTTGACGAAACACTATTCATAAGGGAGTTTTTACTGTTGATACATTCTTCTTTTCATTTGTGGTTTTATGAATTAAACAACAGAAAAACGACTTCCAGGCTCCAGTCCATTATGGATGTAGTGGACGAACAATATTGGAGCCTACTTATTTAAAGGGCGAGCAACGATGGGTTCCATCAATGAGTAAAAGGGCCGGTCTTCTCATCTATGACTATGGCCACCCAGCTACCTTGCCGGCTTACCATTTCACTTACAAGAAACCCAACTTTTCCCTTATTTGGAAAGCAGGACCTACGATATATATAGTGTTCACGTGAACGGATCGGGGCAATAGACAATAACAAGAAACACAATGATCGGCATGAAAATAAAGAATATAGAAATTTTCGTGGTTCACCAAGACAATGTGGGTTGGTTAGTCCACGGGCGGGACTCGGGAGAGAGCCAGCTTCCCTATATTTAAAGAAATTACCTCCAAATTATAGAGGAGTATGAGAATTATTTATAGTATAAATTAACAATTGAATTACGCTTATACTTCCAGACGACGACATATCATCCGATTCAAGTCTTGTTAACTATATTTTAGGTGTATACAACCACCCCATCCCATAATTATTATTATTATAAACATTCAATCCATCTTAAATTTATCTAAATTTGTAATATAAGTTAACAATGAAAACGTGAATTGCACGTTTGGTCACTTGATTTATTAATGCGTTCCATGTTGTCACTAAAAAAAATATTTTGCTTACTGATCACTGACTTTATCTTAAATTTCACAGTTGGTCAGTCGCTATTAAATTCACCCCATATGAAAGTCAATTATGATATTTTATCGTTAAATACTCAACAACAACAGTTAAAAACATAAAATTAGTTTTTTCTACTTTTCCAGCTCATCTATCTTCCCATCGTCACCCACGCTCTACAAAAAATGGAGGTAATTCCTCCAATTAAATCGAACCCTCTTCTACATTCTCTCTAACTCTCTCTGTCAACCCACCCCCATAGAAAGCTTAGTGCTAAATTGCAAATGGAGCGGGTGATGCGTTCATTTTCACTTATACCACTAACATGATGTGCAACATTTTCTCCAGTCACCTCCGTAGTGCATAAACAATCCAAAAGCTGCAACGTCTCTTTATCCGTCAAAACATTTTGATGACCTATAATTAGGGTGGAAATTGGGGTGGGTGTGGTTACCCGCTCCATATTTTGCGGGTAATCACATCCACAAATATAGAAATTATGCTATCCACAACCCGCCACGCAGTGGGTATAGTGGTTAACCACTACCCGCTGCGGGTTGGTTGTGGATACCCAGAAAAATTTCACATTAATATGGTAATTAAATAGTGATGTTGTGTTTCTTCTCAAACAAAAACAAAAACATACATAAAAGAAAGTTAATAAAGTGTTAAATAAATTATAAATCTTGAATACAATAGGTTAGTTAGTGTAAATTCAGAAGAGATGGATTTGGAAAGAAGTTTGAAGATAACGGAGAAGCGGAGTGACTTGTTACCAGACAAACATCGTTGCATGTCACGGCTCCTCCGATGGCAACAACAGCAAAACACAAAAGTGGCTCGATAAGTGGAGGAGCCCGCTTTTAATGAATCGATTATTCTCCACTCTCGATTATGGTATTGTATTGTTGGTAGCTGGTTGCATGTTGTGTTGTTCGTGAGTTCGTGGAGAAATGGAGATGGGTTTGGGTATCAGACTAATCTTTATCGATAATTCCCCTCTTTTAACGAATAGATTAATTTAATTGACTATATCTATGGACTTGATTTTGTTATAAAATAAACATAGATCACACGGACAATGCTTGTTTAACAAAAGTATCTCACATGAACATTGCGTATTGACTTGATTTTGTTTTATAGAATAAGTGCGTATTTGATTTTGGTAGCTACTTTAATTCTTAGTCTTCCAAGTTTCACAAACTAATATAGCTAATGTGTTTAATAACTAATGTGGTTACAAAGTATTTTTGAAGAAACAAATATAACTAATGTGGTTAAAGTGGATTTTGTGGGTAAACCGCACCACCACCCACAAAAATCAATATTTTGCTACCCACACCCAACCCACTATCCACAAATTGTGGGTATGGGTATCCACAAAGTGTGCGGTTTGGTGCGGTTTGCGGGTTATCCGCAACCCGCAAACCAAACTTCGACCCCTACCTATAATTAGGGGTGTTCAAACAGATTGGTTACCGTGGAAACCATATTAACCAGTAGCATTCGATTAATTTGGTTAGCTTAATTTGGAGAATTGGTTTGGTTTGGTTAAATAATTTAGCTTATTTGGTTTAGGTGGTTGGTTTGGTTTCAACGTTGCTAGCCAATGAAACCAGTTAACCAATTAATGATACACCTAATATACAAAATTATTTATACTTCCATGCAACCAACCAAACCAAACTTTCGGGATTCCCTAATTTATTTCCATTTGCACAACAAACAAAAACATTATGGATAAAAAATTAAATGTGCCTCCCTATTTACTAAACCAAAACATTTTGAACAACTACTAGACTTTCGTATTACGTACAATACTGTGACAGTCACCTCAAACTATGTATAGTTTAAGTGTTTTGTAGGAGAACTTTAACTTCGTGATGAGGGGTTTTGGTATGTATTTATGTTAAGAGGTTTGTTGGAAGCTTACTATATTAGATGCAGAGATGATGAATGATGTATTAACTTGAATGATGATGACAATCATGGATGAGTAGTCTTATTATTATTGTTTATATATAATGATAGTTTATGATAGTAACAACATATGGTTATGTTTTATTCATTTACAGGAAAATTGCTTTCATGTGATGTTATGTTATTTGGTTAATCCGATTATCCTATTAACCAAACCAATTTAACTTTGGTTTGGTTAATTTGGTTTTCGTGTTAATTTGGACGGTTTGGTCAAGACATTTTATTCCATGATTAATGAAATTTAAGTTTATTTGGTTTGGTTATTACCATGTAACCATTTGAACACCCCTACTTATAATCATAAAAATTGGCTTAATTGCAAGTTTGGTCACTCGAATTGCTACAAAATTTTATGTTTGGTCACTCGAATTGATTTATTCCATTCGTAGTCACTTAAATTAGTTTAACAGTTCAACTTTGGTCACTCTCCGTTAACCTCCGTCAAACTCCGTTAGTACCGTCAGTTAACTGCTGACGTGGCTAACAGAGGTGCTTAATCATCCTATTTTAACCACAAAAAAAGCCACATCATTAAACCCCTAATATTTTAAAAGTCCACCCAAACCCAATCAACCCCTGACCCGAGCCGAACCCCTGAACCGACCCATTCACTTGTTCCCCCTCTCCTTCCCCCCTCTTCTTCCCCAGCTCCGACCCCATTCAATCTCCCAAACCCTATTATTGACGACGGCGCCTTGGTGATTAGAGACCAAATTAAGAATGCTCACCGTCCTGAACTCATCGAAATTCACCATCCCGTCGCCGTCGGCATCGACTCTCCGGATCATCTCCTTGCAGGCTTCCATCCGCTTCCCTTCCTTCAATCCCAGCGACGACAGCACCGACCCCAGCTCCTCCACCGTGATCATCCCGTCCCGATCCCTGTCGAACACCTCGAACGCATCTCTCAATTCATCTCCTCCGACGCCACCGCTGTCAATTTTGATTTCCTCTGCCTCCAGATCTGACGCCCTCGCCTCTCCCTCCTGATCCCTGTCGAGCTCACAATCGCCGGCCTCGCGCAGACCACCTCGAGCAACACAACCCCAAAAGAGTAAACGTCCGATTTATCGGTGAGCTGAAACGTCCGGAAGAATTCCGGGTCGAGGTACCCGAAGCTCCCTTTCAGCGCCATGCTGTGGTGGTCCGGGTCGGGCAGACCCGCCTGAGAGAGCCCGAAATCGGCCACCTTCGCGACGAAATTCTCGTCGAGCAGGATGTTCGTCGACTTGACATCCCTGTGAATGATCCCCCCGTCGGATCCGGTGTGAAGATAGTGCAGGCCTTTGGCCGACCCGATGCAGATCTCGAGCCTCTGCTTCCAATTCAGCATCGTGGTGGTGGAAGCCACGGAGGAGGGAGGAGAAGTAGAACTGGAATCATCATCGTCGGATCTGTAGAGATGGTCTCTGAGGGTTCCGTTTTTCATGAACTCGTAGACGAGGATCATCTCGGCGCCGTCGTCGCAGTACCTGATTAAGGAGACGAGGTGGCGGTGGCGGATCTTGGAGGGAGAAGTGAATTGATTCTCTGACGCCCTCGCCTCTCCCTTTCCGCCAGCGGCCATGTTTCTACATAGGATTTTGAACTCCTCGAAGTCAATCAGCCCGTCGCCGTTGGAATCCACCTTCATCACCATCTCCTCCACCTCCGCCTCGGTCACAGAGATCCGGATGTTCTTGGCCATCTCGTTGGAGCCGTAGCTCTGGTTGAGGTTGCCGCGGAGCTCTGGTTGGGGTCGGAGATGGGGAAGAAGAAGGGGGAAGGAGAGGGGGAACAGGTGAATGGGTCGGTTCAAAGGTTCGGCTCGGGTCAGGGGTTGATTGGGTTTGGGTGGACTTTTAAAATATTCAGGGTTTAATGATGTGGCATATTTTTTTTTATTTTTTTTGGTTAAAATAGGATGACTAAGCACCTCTGTTAGCCACGTCAGCAGTTAACTGACGGTACTAACGGAGGTTAACGGAGAGTGACCAAAGTTGGACTGTTAAACTAATTTAAGTGACTACTAATGGAATAAATCAATTCGAGTGACCAAACATGAAATTTTGTAGCAATTCGAGTGACCAAACTTGCAATTAAGCCCATAAAAATTTAAGAAACTTGAGGACTGGAAATAATGGAATGGTGAGAGATTCCTGGCCGTGCCATGCCATTAACTCATGATCCATCACCTCATTCGTCAAAGTCTCTGTCAGCGCACAAGAGAAAATACAAAAATGTGGGGGATGCCCATGTGAATATGAAATATGGAACTACTTTCTTTTCCCCACCATAGTCCATAAATGTGAAAAATGAATCTTGTATGCATGAATTTCTATTGATATGCGAATGTGAGAGCTACTAGCTGTAGCTGTTGTAAGGAACTTGACGAAATCTGGATGATGATGATGATATATATGTATTCTGTGAGTAAACCTAAGCCTATGGTCATAATTCGAGCACTACTGTGGCTGTCAATGCTATTCAATTATTGATATGCTTTCGTTTTCTGTCTCGTTTTCTTTGGTTAATTTCTCTGCTCGTAGATGTAGTTTCTCTCAGAGTTAGGTCTGCTTTAAACATCAAAAGAAAAAGTTAGGCACCCTTCGAAAGAAAGAACATCTAGCTATTTTTCAACGTACAGGTTTTTTTAATATGAAATTGGTTTATAACTTGTCGGGATGCACAGACTTCATATGAGTATCTAGAGCTGGGTTATTTCGGGATTACTCTCAATGAGTTAATTGAAATGATGCATGCTTTGGCCTTGCGCCTCCTTTGAATGAATAATAATAATAATAATAATAATAATAATAATAATAATAATAATAATAATAATAATAATAATAATAATAATAATAATAATAATAATAATAATAATAACGTTTGAATGGATAGCGTTTTCATACTCAAGGTATGCGGTACCCCGGATTTCACCCTGGGTACCATAGAACTCCCCATATATATATATATGGCGAGTTCTACGGTACCCTGGGTGAAATCCGGGGTACCGCATACCTTGAGTATGAAAACACTATCTAGACCTTGAATTGACCGATCTTTCGGATATGATACTATACTTTAACACTTAAAGATCAAAATCTAGGTGTTAACTCTCCCAATCTTATGCTCCAAGATCAGTTTAATTAGAAACAATAATCAACGGTTATGATTCATCAAAATATAGGCACAAAAAGGAATGCACCATCTTAGGGTTTATAGATTATGATTTAGATAATTATGACCTAGGGTTCACTCATTAAGGGTTAGGGTATAATATCATACCCAAAAATCCTGGTAATTCGAGGTCTAGATAGAGTTTCCATACTTGAGGTATGCAGTACCCCGTATTTCACCCGGGGTACCATAGAAGCCACCATATATATATATATATATATTAATATATATAAAGAAGAAGTGAGGTTACTATTGCCTAATAAATTACATTTTGATACCTCAAATTTAATTAAATCACAATTTAGTTACTATAATATAAATTTTATATTTTGATATCCCAAATTTAATTTTAATATAAAATTATTGAACAATTATGTTTTGGTATCTAATTTTATGAGATTTTCATACCTACAATTTTTTCAAATTTACATATTTGTCTAATGTTTATATTTCACTTGAGTCCATGAATCCAATCCACCAATCCTCTCGAACCAATTCATGAATCTAATCCACCATAACATAAAATTATAAATTTCGTTTGTACAATACAAGATATTGTATCACTCAACTGTAGGAGAAGATTCGATCATTTTATATTTGCTAATTATTGAAACATTAAATAAATGATAAAAGAGATACGACTTTAAAATATTGCAAGACCGAATTTATAAACTCATTGAGTACATTTACGGGGTACTAAACAAACTTCTACTTATTACATATAATAAAATATGCGACATCTACATAAGCGAGTGTCGATAAATTGCTACGGTGAAAAGGGTTGATTGTTGTATTGACTGCTAACTAAAAGAATTGGTCAAAACCTTTCTATAATCTAATTCCTTTTCGTTTCATTCTTTACTCACCTTCCATAACCCTTTCTTTATTTCTTTTTTTGCCTTCTTCGTCTAACCCTAATTAGTATACTATGTTTATGTATTTATAATCACAAGTATGAACGGGTCCATACATGACTCACCAACAGTCTAGAAAAAAATAATTGAACTATGAACCACTACCTTTTTTCAACTCAATGTCGAGCCCAATTAAAAATAAATATATATGGTTATTACTTATTGGAAAGTCGTCATTTTCCACTATGGGATTTGATATGTGTAGATATCTAGCTAAACATTCCATGTATATTTGTTGAAAATTCTAGCCCGGATGAAAAAGAAATACTCTAGATAGAAACAAAAGGAATATAAACTTCCATCTACAAACTTTCAAACTCATATATACGTTACTCATACCATAGCTATAATCAATGGGTCTACTTGGGTTTAGCTAAATATCATTTACTAGCCACAATTTTTAAAAAATAATTTGATATTGACCGCCATGTATCTCTTCTCAGTCAATATTACTAACAACATCGCTAACGAAAAATTAATTTAGACTAACAATACTAACAAAACACCATAATGGGCCATATAATACATGCCCATAGGCCATTTCCGCCCCGCGACAAGGCGCGGCATCGCCACCTAGTATATATATATATATATATATGGAGCATATGCAATTAATTTTGTAAAAAGAAACTAATGCAATGCTTTGGAAACAATTAATTAGTCCCTTACCAAACAAGAACAACTAATTAACCTATTAAACGAACACTAAAAAAAGGGCAAAGTTATATTGAACATAAGGAAAAAGGATGCAAGCTTTGGCTCGGAAAGATGACTGAAAATTACAGCCTCGCCACCATCATCATCGTTGTCATAATCATTTTCAAGAAGGTCATCCTCGAACATGTCAATTATCACTCTTGGACTTCCTTCAAGTGGTTGTTAGTTTAATAGTGTTGTGTTTATTTATAAGGGTGATTTATATTTAACTTTTAGTTAGGTGTTACTTAAAGAATTTGAACATTAAATTTTGAGATTCAAGACCAACGTATAATACCACTACACTAATGTTATGTTGTTATTATGTAAAAAAAACAAAAGTACATGCCCTTGCACATAGAAATCTTACTCTACAAAAGTCTCTTTTTTTTTGTGATAAAAAAATAGACAGACAAGCTTACCGCCACTTTACATCTTAATTGTACAAGGGTTTATTATAATCATTTAGTTAATTCTCAAAACATTTTTGGAACTTCATAAAGCTCTATAATAGTATCTTCGACTTTGTTTCTATGTGTGGCAACCGGCAAGAGTGATAACAAATTAACAATTTACATGATGGCCGTAAATTATGTGATTATAATTGGGAAAAATGTTACCTTCAGTTAGGCAGTCTACTGCCTCCAAGGTACAACTTGTACATCATTGAATTATAAAGGGTTAATAGCATTTTATGCCTCTCTACTATTGCAAGTTAACAAATGTACCCCTCTACTATTTTTTTGCACAAACATACCCTTCTATTATCGGAAGGTAACAAATTTAACCTTCCGTTAATTTCTCCATCCACTGACCGTTAAAAGGAACGGTAGTGACTAATTTGCCCCTCCAGCCCCAACCCTTGTTTATTTCCCTTCAATCCCACTGTGCGAGTTTCCTTTCCCTTCTCCAGCAGTCGACTCCCCCCCCCCCCTTCTTTCGCTTCAATCCGGCAGCAGATAGGGTCAGTAACCATTGGTTACTGACCTATCAGTATTAAATCCGGACCGTAGATCTAGGGATGACATTATTATATTGTTGGGCTGCACGTGGAGTGAGGAGGGGCATTTTTGTCCGATTTTTGAAATTTGATTTCTTTTTTTTTTTTTTTTCCAGCATTTATATGTGTTGTCTTTTAATGGAGGAAAGAGAAAAAACATACTTTTCTCTTCCTCTCTCTTTTCTCTTTCCTCCTTTCTCTCTTCCAAAATTCTTTTTCCAGATCTAAATCTCATTTCTTCTCTTGTTCTTCATTTTTTTCTCCAACAATCGATGAATAAATTGCAGCCTCCCACTTCAAATTCGGTGAGGCTCCAAATCCTTCTACTCTCAAGCTGCTCCTTCCTTCTGTTTTTTTCTTTTATCGGCCTCAAAATCGATGATGCTCCATATTGTCAAAGAGGGGACAGATCTAGGTGAGTTGAGTTTGCATCTTTTGTGTTTTAGTATTTGTTTGTGAATTAATTCCGATCTTCTTCCTCTTTTTCTTTCTTTTTGCATTCGGTGTTCTTCATTGCGGAGGAGTAAATGATAGGAGACAGAAGACAAGTTTTTTTTCCTCTTCCTCCTTCTGTTTCCCCTTCTTTGAGAATATATATTGAGATTACTACACTATACCATATGGTAATGTGTCGATACCATATGGTATTGACACATTACCATATGGTAATGTGTATATACCACACTATACCATATGGTAATTTGTATATACCATATGGTAATGTGTATATACCATATGGTAAAGTGTCTATACCATATGGTAAAGTGTATATACCATATGGTAATGTGTCTATACCAT